ACGAAACTGTAATCGATAACCATTCTTTATTATGCTTAAAACCCACGGGGAGATGCCGGGGATGGCTTCCCACGCTTCGTAAGCGGTTGAATGGCGATTTCGCCCTGATTGCTGCACATCGCGGGCTGGACACTGTGTGTGGGCACGCTTATAATGTGGGTGGCAACGGGACTTACACTCAGAGAGGAGTTTTATGGGCCGTGTGACAGAGCGGGCAGAGGGGGGACACGCGCACGGGCTCGTGGGCGTGCTTATGTTCTCTGCAACTGGAGCGGATAGTGCTCGCTCCGTGAGAATGGGCTCTGTGAGAGACCCTGGGCATAAGGTGCTTGTGTGTGTACGTGAGCACATGCTTGTGGGCACATTTATTACACTTGAGGCTTTTATGCTCTTTTAGTGAACTCTCTGGGTAGCCGTGAAAACGGCTTTTAGACGCTCGCAAGCGGGCAGGGAAACCGGCTTGTTTGTGGCGGTAAACACTACTGCAGTCAGCGGTGAGACGGGGACTAACAGTGGGCGAAGCTTTTACAGCGATCCGGCCGCAGCGGGAGAAAGCCGTCCTTTTCTCAGCTGTGCTAGGCAGACTTCTGTTGATCGGGCTTCAGCGCGATCTTGGGTCGAGGCCCCCTGGGAGGAGGCTGTCTGCAGCGGCTGTCTGAGCGAGAGCGAGGGCGGCCGCCCTGTCTACGCTGGGGCTGCTGAGCTTGCTGAGGCGGGCGCTGCTGTGGGGTTCTGGCAGGAGGCTCGTGAGAGCGGCCTGTCGAAGAACTAGAGCGGCGGGGCAAGAACAGATTCATGGCCTGAGTCGCTTTCTGTACCTCGGAGAAGCGGTCAACGATGCCCGTGACGGCAGATCCGAAGAGCCCGGTAGGAGATCTCGCACAAGATGTCGCTCTGGAGCGCCTGGATGGAATGCAGCGCTGAGGCGGCCTGTTCGGCGGCGGAAAAGGCGCGGGCAGCATGGCAGTATAATCCTTCTCGGCGGCTCCGTCCACTGAGCGAAGCGGACCCATCGGAGCGGATACGAGCCGAAAGAGGGGCATTCCAGGATTTAGTGAGCTCGTAGTGAAGCTCAGGCAGGAATGGTGCAGCCCGGCTGCAGGCGGGGGCCGGGCGCCGGTTCGGTGGTTGCTCGGGGGGAGGAGACCACTCGAGACCCAGGCGGTTGATGGCCTGCGAAAGGAGGCGCGATAGTTCCTCCTCGATGCCGGCGCGGGTCCCCGCAGACTCTCTCGTCGATGAGCCGATCGACGACCAATCCTCGCTGTCAGAAGGGTGCAGCGAACAAGAGTCCTTCTCATCCGCGGTGTCATCGGAGGCGACAGAGCGGCCATACGGCGGCAACTGTAAGTCCGGCAGGGGCGGAGAGGGAGAGCGGTCGGTGGGCGGCGGCCCACATGGATCCGCAGGGGGCTCCGGCGGCCTCTGGGAGCGGCGTTTCTTCTTCCGCGGCGAAGTGAGAGGCGGCGCTGGAGCGGTTCTGACTGCCTGTGGTCGAGCCCGCAGGAAAGACGGAGGCAGGTCCTCGCAGTGGTCGCATCCTCCGATGGCGAGGGCGAGCTCTGCGTGTTCCACTCCGAAACAGAGAACGCAGAAGCGGTCTCCTTCCTCGAGTGAACTCTCACTCTCATGAGCCGCAGGGAATTCGAGGCATCTTGAAAAAGACGCTCGTGCTCTTTTAGGAATAATGGAATAAAGGATACGCGTCGGATGGCGCTAGCTTGCTGGGCGGCTGAAGGTGGCAGACGGCCGGCTTCCTCAGACTCCGGAGCTTGCTAGACGGTGCCTTCTCAACGACGGCGGCTTCTTCCCAGGACAGCGGATGCGTGTAGCTCGCTGAATGAATAAGAATCAACGAACGAGCTGGGAGAGCGACCTTTATACACTGTAGCCACGCCCCTTTTGGCGGGCTGTGACGCAGTGAGCGAGCGCCGTCCGCTCATTGGCCGCGGACTCAGCGCCGCTCTCCCATAGGTTCGTGCATTCTCTCTGAGCGAACCAATGAGCCGCTAGCTAGCCCGCTCATGGTCTGCCTCAGAAGAGACTGCGTTGACAATGATTACAAAATTATGGAATAATTTTTTGGCTTCAACTTCTCAGCAAAGATGAATCTTTCCCGTAGCGTAAGCTAGCTTACGCAATACGAGAGAACCTCTCGTAAGAGAACTAGTAATCTTGCCAAAACTACAAAAATATTTCAAATCTGTTGGTGGACCAACATTAGATAGACTAACAATGATGTCCAAAAGTCGGATGTTGAAAAGACGTCCACTGAGGAGCCAGAATTAAAGTTTTTATGACGTTTTTTACGTGTTCTGCACGTCCGATATAGACGTCGAACCTTCGTACAAGGTTAAAAACTAGTTCAAATGTATCAGCATTCAATTAAAACTCATGTTTATATACATTTATATCAATGTCATTTCCTTACATTGTTTAGATGAGGTTTAGATGTTGATATGTTTCATTTTAAGTCACCATTGTGGTGATCAGTGTTTGCTTTAGTTGGGCTCTTGGTCCCAATTCTTCTTACTTTAACTTTTCTTTGGCTGTTGTAACTGTGTGTTTGTATAACACCATTGTTGTGACAGAGAAAGCCAAGAAAAGTAAGATCGGTTGTCATCAGCTCCTTGTTGATGATGACAAAATCTCAAAGTGAGCATTTAACGTTGTGATTAAACTTTTGTCTTTATATCTGCTGTTATCTTGTGGAATTAGTTATTTGGACCAGTACCATTAAAATGATCACTTATTTGAAGGTGAATAAAATGCATGTGTACACAATGTTTTGAGCAAATATTTCACATAGTCACACACAGACATCAAGATTTTGTATAATGATTCACAACAAGGGTGTCAACCAAAACAAAAAAGCTTGGGAATCAATGATGTTTTGTACTTTGAGAGCTACCCATCATGCATTGCAGCATGAAGCTTTTTATTGTCACTGTTCTTGTGATACATATGCAAAATCTTGATGTCTGTGTGTGACTATATGGTACATTTTCTAATAACATTGTTTAAACATGTTTTTTTTGTTCACCTTCAAATAAGTGATCGTTTTAATGGTACTGTTCCAAGTAACACAGTTCCACAAGATAGGTGGTAATAAACGGCAGATATAAAGACCAAAGTCTAAATCACAACATTAAATGCTCACTTTGTGTTTTTGTCATCATCAACAAGGAGCTGATGACAGCCAATCTTACTTTTTCTTGGCTTTCTCTGCAACAATAATAGTGTTTTACAAACACACAGTCACAACAGCCAAAGAAAATTAAAGTAAGAAGAATTAGGACCAAGAGCCCAACTAAAGCAAACACTGATCACCACAATGGTGACTTAAAATGAAACATATCAACATCTAAACCTCATCTAAACAATGTAAGGAAATTACATTGATATAAACATGAGTTTTAATTGAATGCTGATACATTTGAACTAGTTTTTAACCTTGTACGAAGGTTCGATGAAAGTCTATATAAGACGTGCAGAACACGTCAAAAAAAGACGTCATAAAAACTTTAATTCTGGCTCCTCAGTGGACGTCTTTTCAACATCCGACTTTTGTGACAAAGACGTTGAAAAGACATCTTTTGGACATCATTGTTTAGTGGGCAGTCTATCTAATGTTGGTCCACCAATAGATTTGAAATATTTGTGTAGTTTTGGCCAGATTACTAGTTTTGAATGAGTGATCTGAAAGGTTTTCAGACCGAAATGAACGGGTCCAGATCGGATCCGGATAGGGTCTGCCGCGGATCAAGTCTGGATCCGCAATCCTCATCTGTTCAGGATCCGTTGCGCTGTGCAAGTGTGTTCTGAGGTGTTCTGACAATTCATGCTACCCATCGAGATTTGCTATACCGGTTATGCGCATGTGCAGACTCCGTTTTTTTTTATTTATTATTTTTTATTTTTTACAAAAGGTACGTTTTCCTGTTATAATGTATAATTTTCCTTTAAAAAATGCTTACTATCATATGAATATTTGTATGGTCAGCCAGCTGAAAAGGAATAACTGAAAGTTTCCGTTACTAAGGTGCTTTGACAAGTCAAAGATGAATATTTTATGATAATTTTTACTTTTCATACCGTTTTAAAAATAAAAACAGTAGTCTACAGTATAAAGTAGCTACTCATAACTTAGAATTGTATTATAATTGTATTTCATACGACTTTAATCGGCATTCTGTGATCAATTCGCGCTATGGTAGCATTTTTCGACAAGGCAGCAAAAATTGGCAGAACACCGGACCTTGTTCTCACCTCCGCGGCAGATCCGTTCCCCAGTTTCTATCTGGAGATTGGTCGGTCGGTCGGCCCATATCGGGACCAGCGAGATTCGTTGAGATTAATGAATCTATTTATTTATTAATTTATCTGAGGTGCCGGAACGCAGTTCCTGACCGTTCCGGCCCACTTTAACCATGGGTGTGACACTGTGACATAACATCCCAGAAATGTCTAGATATTAGGCCTAGCCTAATGTGAATTCTCCTCGGTTTTGTTAGTCCAATTTCTGTTTCAATATCCACTTTGTTGTGTGTCAGGTGGTAATTTAGGTTCTATGTGTTATGTGTTAAAGTTAATAAAACAAATATCACATTTACAAAAAAAAAAAAAAAGACTTCATCAAACGGGTTATAACATTAAAAAAGCAACAGCAAAAAAAAAAAAAAAAAAAAAAATGCTATACCTGTCGTTTACTGTGCTAGACTATGGGACTCATAGCAGCACGTTTGCATTGTGTTGCCATATTGTTTGTTTGACTGCTTCTATTACTCAGTTTGGATAAAAGCGTCTGCTAAATTATTAACGTTCTTAATTTACATCAAAAATAGAAATGAAATTTGTTGACTTTTTCTCTGTCTGATCACATTCTGACATATGGCCTTTTGTTTTAGAGGCAACTTTGTGTAATTAGGCTACAGCCTACAAAAATATGGGGCGAAAATATTTTAACTAAATCTTAAGATAACAAATAATAAAGTCCCCACCTGGTGTCCATCGTAGCCAATTTCACAGTAATCTGCAGATGGTAAACTCTGTTGAAACTTGTCAAACTGAGTGGAGAAGGCAAGGGGGAAAATCTTTTGTTTTCGCTCCAGTCGGGGGTTTAAGTTTTGTTTTCTGTTTCTTCATTTCCTTTGCTCCACCCCTCAGCTCAGAGGTTCAAATGTTCAAAAGTATTGTGTTATAGGCTGTGTACTAAATTCCTTATACCTATGGTAATAGGTAGTAGCCCTTTAATGTGTATATTAAGTTGTACTGCACGTATAGCGCATTCACGCGCATTCTGAGTTTAGTTTACTTTCAGTTTCGTCTCTGCCGCATCTTCATCTTCGACGAGTGGTAACTATGGTTCACTTCTTGTTTAAATGGAAGAATCCAATGTGTTCAGGTGGAAGTTATTCAGTCAGATCCATTGGAGGTTAAGGGAGTCCCACGATCTGTGCTAGGGCCGCTATTATTCGGTATATATATATATAAATTGTCTGTATTTTAATATTGATAATACAAGGTTTCATTTTTAAGCAGATGATACTATTATATAATTTTTCCGCTTCCTCTAAGCAACAATTTGTGGCTTTCTTACAATCTGCTTTCGATATAATTCAAAATAGGTTTTGTGCCTTGAAGCTGGTTTTAAATGAGAGAGAAAAAAAAACTAAAAGTAGCCTATGTTCTTTTCTAACTCTAAAATTTCTACTGAAATTCAATCTCTCTTCAGGTTTCTCAGGGTAGTCTGATTACAGAATCAGAGTACAAATAGCCTACCTCTGTATTATTATCCATAACGCATTACATTTTGGTTCAAACTCAAGAAAATATTTTATTTTAGAAACAAGTCATGCTTTTCTTTTAATGCGAGGCAGAAAGTGTCTGCTACTTTTTACCAGTTTTTGACAATGGGGATGTGTGTATCAACGCGCCCTCTTATCTTCTGTCTCTCTGGATGCTTTGTACCGGTGCTCTGAGATTCATAACTGACTGTCGATTTGCAACACACCATTGTGATCTATACAAAATGTTTAGTTGGCCTTCGTTTAATATTAGAAGAAAAATGCACTGGTATTTGATGATTTACAAAGCTAAATTGGCATATCTGCCCCCTTAACTTTGCTTATTAAACAGAAATTGCCTGGTAATTACTCAATCCACAATTTGTGTGTGCCTTTTCAACCTCTCAGTGCCTCTTGATTGGCCATCCTGCAGGTGTAATTAGTTTAGACTTTTTCTTAGGCTACTTGTCTTTGTATTATTTTTCAAAAAAAAAAGTATATATGAATTATCGTATTCTATAGTTCATTAAATTAGTAAATACTACTACTACTGCTACTACACACACACACACACACACACACACATACACTTGCATTTAATCAACACTCCAACAACGCCCTCTCGTGGGAAGAAACAGAATAAACGGTTCAAACTATGTCAAACTTTATGTATAGTTTCAATATAATTATCCCACAGTGACAAATATTTACGCACTTCAGCGATTACCTCGTGCCATAATTGTCTGCTAATGTAACAACTAAGAATATGTAATTTCTTGTATATATATATATATATATATATATATATATATATATATATATATATATATATATATATATATATATATATATATATATATATATATATATATATATATATATATATATTAACATCTCTATTGCTGCCCCCTGTAACTGTTACACGTAGTATTGTATTATACATTTAATGGTCAAAAAAATGAAATAAGTGAAAAACCCTAGAAGAAGAAGAAAATAAGTCGTTGCAGTTCCTCTTCCAGCCTGCAGGGGCGGCAGTGCGTCATTCTCACGAGCGAACACTGACTGCAGATGAAATGCATCATGGCGGAGCGACTCTGAAATAAAACAAAACTGTGCGGAAAAACATCGGGATTAAACCCCGAAATCCTGCTAATTCATCCCACATCCGCCCAATCTGCGATTATAATCACACAAGGAGTCGCGGCTCGATAAATCGCGCTATTTGCGTTTGTCGTCAAAGGTGTTATTGCTTATCGGGAGACGCCGCGATACTTAATGATCACAATATAAGATAAACACACATATTATTATTTTTATTTCACGTTGTTGCGTTTGCGGCGTTTAAATTAAGATTATTTCTTTATTAAGCAACAGTGTTCGTCTTTACTTGAGTGCAGACATCAAAACGGCCCTGTGAAATCACAGGCGCGAATGTAAAAGATTGTTTATTGTTTCATTAAACATTAAAACGATGGAGAAAAGGCAGCATAAATCAGACAAACATCATCGCCGACATCTTCACCACCGCCATCATCATCAGTCCTCCAGCAGCAGCAGCGGGGAGTCCGGCGGCAGCAGCCCGGCCCACGGGGCGCCCAAAGCGGCCAACGCCTTCGCCAATGACGGCAGCTTCATGGAGATGTTCAAGAAGAAGATGGAGGAGGAGGAGAAGAGGAAGAGAGAGACTGAGGAGGAGGAGAAGACGAAGAGTTCTGATCCGCCAGGGCAAGCGGCTCAGGACAAGAAGCCTTGTAGCGTGAGCAGCATTGTAAGAGAGGCAGTGGAAGCGCTTTACTTTAGTGTAACACACACACACATTCACACACACTCATACAGCAGTAGATTCTGGCTCTGTTCGGGTCCTGGTCGCTTCCTAAAGCCCGTGTAACGCTCTGAGTCTGTTCCCTTATTAACCCAGGTGGGCAAGCGGAGGGGAGGCGCGCGTCTGGCCCTCAAGACAGGGATGGTGGCCAAGAAACAGAAACTGGACTCAGAGGTGAGAAGAGACTAAATATCCTATGAAATCATTGTTTTTTTTAGTACAAACATTTTCTTTATGAAGCTATGTAAGAGGTTCATTCAGTATCTATCATAAGGTGCGTACACGCAATAGATTACGACTTGTAAATAGCGTTCTTTGTTGAACTCGTAAATTGCGAAGTGTAAACTGGGAATTTGGTGACAGCTCCGACTTGTACCACGTGACGTGACTGCTGTATTTTGCCATAGAACGTCAAGTGCTGTCGTCATCTCGTAATTACCACATCGCGTGAACGCAGCAATAAACTTTTGAAAACTTTCCTACTTAAAAGTGTGTGTAAAACAGTACGCCGCCAACAGAGCAGTGTGTCTGAATACGGAGTACTCAAAGTCCCCGGATGAACAACTACTTACGGCGAGATTCTGAAGTGTGAAAAAGTTTTTCACTGGTTTGCGAAAGTTGTGTATAGAATTTCTTCCCGATAAATAAAATGCTTAAGTCAAACTTAATTACAATATACTACGTTGTAATTGTGATTAAAAGGTCAAATTTATGACCTTGTGACATTGACATTAAGGGCAAATCCCAAACGGCATTGTTGCTCCGTTGAAGGGCCCTTCGGGAAGAGGGCGCTATTTGTAGAAGCAGAGATGTATAGTAACGAAATAGAACTACTTAAGTACTAAAATGCTGTATCTGTACTTTACTAGAGTATTGTTTTTTTTCTCATACTTCTACTTTTACTTCAGTAGATATTTTCGATGAATTTAATACTTTTACTTAGATATTTTTTTTAATGTTCTGCTAGTTACTCGCTACAATTATACATTAAATTTTATGAATCATTCGTTGCAAGTTTGCTTTCATGCTGCCTAAATCACACGCCAGTTGTATAGGGTAATTGTATTGATTGACACACACATTGACAACTAATGCAGGGGTTTTCCTGCAATGACTTTTTTTTTGGCGGCCGCCAAAGCAAATTTGTATCCCGCCAAAGCACCTTATTTGATTGCTAGTTCAAACTATTGACTGCTTTCTTTAATAATTACATGACACAATACTTGTACTTTTACTTTTAGTACTTAAGTAGTGAATTTTAAAATAAACAACTTGCAATACTTAAGTACAAAAAATGTTGAATACTTTAGTACTTCTACTTAAGTGTGGTGCTTAAAGAGCACTTCAACTTCTACTCAAGTCATTTTTTTGATAGAGCACTTGTACTTTTACTCAAGTCCGGGTTTCTAGTACTTTATACATCTCTGTGTAGAAGTGTTTCGAAATGAAAATGAATAACTGGTCTCTTCACGAAGGGCTCTTCCACAAGGCCGTTAGCAAAAGGCGACATGCAGTGGTCACTTGAAGGAAATATTTTTTTCTTTATGGTCATGTGACGCAGCGAAAAACTTGTGATTTTTTTTTTAAACGTTTTTTAAAAACTATTAATATATTTTATTTTTCTTCACAATAAACAAGTTAAAATGAGAACATGAAAATATGAATGAAATCAACTCTCCAACTTCCAATCCCCCAGCTTAACCTTTACCAGGTCTCATTACTATGGGCTGCATAATGGATAGATAAGTTAAAGACACACTATGCAGGAATTCCGTTTTTGTCAAACAGCGCCCCCTAGAGTACTTGTATTTAACGTTACTCTCGTAAATACCACTCACGCAGAGCGTCTCTGCACTCACGGCCTGATACTCTGAAGATGTTATGTTAAGGGACAGATCTTGTCTGCCACTAAAAAACAGTGTGTTGTTCCGGTAAACCAGCCATGTCAACGAAACGAATGAATGAAAATTTGCTTATCAATGTATATCTAAATTCACGCCTACATCTTTGTAGAACTTAAAAAAAAAATAGAAACGGAAAAGATGCTGCAGCCAATTAGCCGCCGGCGGGGGCCGACTCAACCTCCACGGACAGTTTAATATTTTATCAGACAATAACTACTCAAGATTTTGCTATAGTATAATTTTTGGGACAATTAGAGCCGAATTTGGAGTCGAAACACGAACGCCGTTCACACAGTTCAGCTGACTTGGCACGGCGTTTGTGGTTTGACTTATCAGGACTGTTTTTCAAGATGGCGCGAAGTGAACTGTCTTCATAAAGTATCTTCTTATTAAACGGTCTGTACACTTACAAAGTTCACAATGCTTCGTTTTGCATGTGAAGACCCTCATTATGTTACTGTGTTAGTGTGGGGCTATTTTGAGCCTTGTTAGTGGTATAAACTAGCCATTTTTATATTTTCATTACTCTATGCCCCATATACTAGTGTTATACGCTAAACAGTTTTTAGAGATAAAACTCTTTACATTAAATTATCATGAAAACAAATCTCAGAGATCGGTCGACTTGGTACCAATGTGTTATTGGACCAAAGGTCCATTTTGCACCGGAGTTCTCCTTTAAAGGGTTAGTTCACCCAAAAATGAAGATGATGTCATTAATGACTCACCATTAGGGTCTTCAACCGTGGGTCACATTTTTTAAACTGAGTTGTAGACATAATCCGAAAGCTGAATAAATAAGCTTTCCATTGATGTGTAGTTTGTTAGGATAGGACAATATTTGGCCAGAGATACGACTATTTAAAAATCTGGAATCTGAGGGTGCACAAAAATCGAGACATTGACAAACTCGCTTGTGCATTTATGTCCTCTATTTTGCTATCATAATTTTGACTTTTTGTTAAACTCCTAATTAAGACATTGTTGTACCAATATTTTGACTTTTTGTCTTCATTTAGCCTGTCATAATTTTGATTTAGGCATAATTTTAATCTATCATAATTTTAACTTTCATTGACTGTCATAATTTTAACTAAAATGTTTTACTTTTTGTCATTTGAATTTTCAATTTTAACATCCTATTTTAAGCTCACGATTTTGACTTGTCAATTAATTTTATGTAAATGTAGACTAAATTATGACACTCAATTTTGACTATGTAGACTGTCATAATTTGGTTAATAATTAAATTTAAAAGCCCAAATTTTGCTGTAAAAAAATAAGTTATGTCATAATGTAGACTCAGGTTTGACCGTCAATTTTGACTAATGCAAATGTAGCATGGCATAATATAGTTGTTTTGTTTTTACGTAATAATTAGATTCTTTTGGGATGTTTTTTACTTTTAATGGCAAAATGTTGGCTTTTTATATCATAATTATGACTCATCATAATCAATCATAATCGATTATGTCAATTGAGACTTTAATGGCAATTTAGGTTTTTTGTCATAATTTGAAAATTTTTGTCGTCATTTAACTTTTTTTGGTCAATTTAGACTCATAGTTTCAATTAAGTACGTCATAATTTCAACTTCATCTCGGCAATTCATGTTGTAATTTTAGCTTTTCAATGTTATAATTTAGACTTTTCTGTTATAATTTGGGCTTTTTTCCTCATAATTTTCATCTCATAGACTTGCTAAGCATGCTTTGAAATATCACTTATCTCTCGTGTATCACTTTTTCAGTCTGTTGATTTATTTGATTGAAATGTTTGTAAAGCACATGATTTAATTCCTACATGTTTATCTAGCAACAGTTGTGTCAATAACGCAATAGATTTTTAACTCTAAAACCGTATTCACTTTATAGCCCTTAATCCTGTAATTGTGGACAAATGTGGGCACAGAGGACGCAGCTGTGATCCTAATTTTTATTTATTATAAATGTTATATCACTGTCTTCGATAAAGTTTTGTCTATCCATTTATGGTATTTTTTTTTTATTTTGGGGGTATTTTTGAATTTATTTGCTTCAAAAAGTACCATATTATCTATGTAAATTATTTCTATGTAAATGAATTACTATGTAGTTTTATTTTTTAAAATTTAACTACATAAGTTCTTAGAGCTAAAACCTAAAGATGAAGTGACTTTGCTGTTGCTTATTTTAGAATGCTCTAAATTACAGTTTTTCCCATTCATTTCTATGGGTGTCAATTTTTGACCCAAATACAAGATTAAGGAGGTTTTTTTCACCCACTTAACATTGTAGAATTGAGTAAAAAAAATGTGTGTGTTCAGGAGGCAAACTTAGGAAAAGTAGCCAAGTCTTGTACCGCTCAGATCAAGGGAAATATTTTTTTTAAAAAATAAATAAACTATTTTGCCCACATTTGTCGAGAATACGGTTTTAGGGTTAAAACAGAATTTTCCACTTTCTCTGTGGCTGCGTTTCTCATACAACAACGATCATATCGCAAATGTGTGTTATTGATGTCTGGTTATTGATGTAATAACTTCTTTTCGTTTGTATCGAAGCTTGTTTCTGCCACTGCAGACTGATCTCATGAAGTAGCGTGTGTATGACACGCCAATTCGTATTTCCATTTTTGGCGTGCTATCAACACGCATAATCGCTTTTCAGCGTGTTTATGAACGCCGTTGACTTAACGTTATTACTGTATATATAAATATATGACTTACCTCAACCCCGTCCCTAAACCTAACCGTCACTGGAGTTAATGGCATTTATGACTGTTCCCCTAGCATCCTAGGAATGAAAAAGATATGACTTACCTCAACCCCATCCCTAAACTTAAAGGCCCGTACACACCGAATATCAGCGCGCGTTATTCGTCAGCGTTTTTCAACGCGTTTTTTGTGTTCACACCCAAGCGTTTTTCGCTGATGATGAGCCGAGTGAACATGCAAATTCATTCCCTGACTTTAGATGGCGCTTAATGTAAAACAGAAATAATGATAGAATACTATACTAGGGTGATCATATTCATATCTCAATGTTTTATTATGACAGATGATGAAATAATGATAGAAATAATGTCTTCTGTATTAGAAAAATAAATATATAAATAATAAATAACTAAAAGAAATGCCTCCAAATGTAACAAAAAATAGCTCTCACAAACTTACAAAAACGAACTAACAAAATCTATTTATATCTTTAGTTTTCATCCTCTTTATCCTGTTTTTCTTCCTCGTCCACCTTGTTTGCCCATCTATATTTTGCTGTAGAACTGATCTTTCCCAGCAGTTTTTGTTTGAAAACCAGGACATTTTCATCACTTAAACAGGCAGGACAGGACGTGGAAACAGGACATGTGTAACGCAAAGTTGAGATGTTGCCCAGAGATAAAAACGTAGCACTAGTTGTCGGTGAACAGATGCACGAGAGACGAGAGTTGTCGTATTTCCCAGCGTTTAATAAAACCACTCAAACGTCACACTCGTCCTCCTCATACATGGGGATCGAGCGAGAAAAAAAAACACAAACATCTGGTCACAATAGAAAAATAAAATAAAAGAAAGAATACAAAGAGTCGGCAGAGCGGTTATCTCCTCTCCTCACTTGTCAAAATCTAACTGACATTACGCACACTATGCGCAGTTCTCATCTCAACTCAGATTTCTATAAAGCACAAAGTGACTGTTTTACACATGTCGCGGGAAAACAGGACTGTTGGTCACCCTATACTATACTATTATTACAGAAATACTAATATAAATATTATCTTATAGCTCTTTATGCTCCACGAGGCGTTAAAGCGTCGACGAATAACGCGCGCGAAATTCGTCCCGGTGTGAACAGGCCTTAACCGTCACTGGGGTTAATGGCATTTATGACTGGAGATTTGACTGCGTGTACAGACGCGCGGAATGACGCGGACGTTAATGGTGTACGCATACACGCGGATAGCTCAAAATGCGTAGAGATAACACGCCACTTGACTCGAAAGTGGCGTGTATGTTTACGCAAAAGTCATGATGTCATGTTGGCCACTGAATAAAAATTGTTAAAAAATAATTGCGACTTTTTATCTCACAATTGCGAGATATATATATATATAAAGTTGCAATTATGAGAAAGTTCGCAATTGCTAGAAAAAAAGACTGAATTTAGACTTTATTCTGCAATTCTGACTTTCTATCTCGCGATTCTGAGAAAAGATGTCAGAATTTCAAGATGTAAACTTGCAATTGTGAGGGGAAAAAAGTGTCAAAATTGTGAGATAAAGTCGAAGTTAATTTTTTTTTTTCATTCTGTGGCGGAAACAAGCTTCCATAGGTTTGAGATGGAAATAATGCTAGATTTTTTTGCTATAAATTGCAGACATGGCATCTGAGTACCAAATATAATTTTTCTGTTATTTTTCATTCTTTCCATACCCCAAACATTTAAGTGGTAGTGTATGAATGGTGTGTGTGTGATAGGTTCATGTGTTCACTGATCTGTGTGTGTGTGTGTGTTTACCGCAGGCGGAGGCTGGGAAAGGAGACGCCTGGACTAAATACATGGCAGAAGTGAAAAAGTATAAAGCGCATCAGTGTGGAGACGATGATAAGACCAGACCACTGGTCAAATAGACTGGAGCTCTTCTCGTGGGCCGCACTGCCACATCATCATCCTCTCTCTCACACACACACTCTTTTCCTTCAACTCTTTGTTTCCAGATTGCGTTTTACCTTGTGCGCTGCCGTATTTGACCGTCTGTTGGGTTCTGATTATTTTATGATGTTATTCGCAGTGTATTCTCCAGTCCATGGCATTAGAAAAGCTCTCGCTCACCTTGTTGATATTTTGTACTCCACATGTTTGGTACTTGAGTCTCGATTGATGATGTAATTAAAGTCACAGTACCGCAGAATCGCCCGTCTTCTGGCTCTGTGTGATGTAAAAAACTCCCGATCTCATTGTTAATGTGTTTTACACACTTTACCACAGCTAGGATGCCATGCTTTTGTCTTTAACAAAAATGGTTCTGGATTGAGTCTCCACCATTGTATGATGTTTGCTTCTTTGTTTTGGATGAAATTACTTGCCATGTGTATAAACACCATTGTCAAAAAGTGCTTATTTTTCCTTAAGCAGTTTCTTTATCAGAAAATCTCATTTAAATGAAGGTAAATTGGTCATAGTCAGTACTTGACTTGAAAACTTGGGTAACACTTTAATTGAAGGGGTGTCCATACGACTGACATCACACCTTCATATCCAGGACATATGAAATAGGGTTTATGAAAACTGTCATTATGTGTCTTTCGCTCAATAATTACATTTTATATGCAAATGTGACATCTTGATATAAACCATAACATCATAACCTGTCAGTGTCTTTGTCATGACAACTTTACATTAAATGAAGTTAATCTGTCATGTGGTTGGCTTTGATATTGGCTGTCAGGAGACCATTATAACTGTCATGAATATTTTTCGTGACCTCAACTACAGTGGTACTAATTGAATTTGTAATTAAAAAGTTAGAATGGCTTCATGACAGCCAATGTCAAAACCAACACCTGACAGTTTAATGTAATGTTAACCAATAAAGCTAGTTGAAATTTTGAGTCAAAAAAAAAAAACGACAGTGTTACCCCTTTCGTTTTTTTCGTTTTCGGGCGAAAAATTAAGTTTCTCCAATCTTCTCAAAACTCTGGATTCTGATAGAGGGCCACGAGACTTTGACCTGAGTGCAAAAATGGAGGCTCTAGACTCTTCCAGAGCTGAGATATCGAAATTCAAAATTTCGACCCGAAAAAAAAAAGACAGTGTTAGCCCTTTCGTTTTTTTTCGTTTTCGGGCGAAAAATTAAGTTTCTCCAATCTTCTTAAAACTCTGGATTCTGATAGAGGGCCATGAGACTTAGACCTGAGTGCAACAATGGAGGCTCTAGACCCTTACAGAGCTGAGATATCGAAACTCAAATTTTGACCAGAAAAAAAAACGACAGTGTTACCCCTTACGTTTTTTTTTTTCGGGGTGAAAAATTAAGTATCTCCAATCTTCTCAAAACTCTGGATTCTGAAAGAGGGCCATGAGACTTAGTCCTGAGTGCAAAAATGGAGGCTCTAGACCCTTCCAGAGCTGAGATATCGAAACTCAAAATTTCGACCAGAAAAAAACCGACAGTGTTACCCCTTACGTTTTTTTTTTCGAGTGAAAAATTAAGTATCTCCAATCTTCTCAAAACTCTGGGTTCTGATAGAGGGCCATGAGACTTAGACCTGAATGCAAAAATGGAGGCTCTAGACCCTTCCAGAGCTGAGATATCGAAACTCAAAATTTCGACCAGAAAAAAAAACGACAGTGTTACCCCTTTCGTTTTTTTCGTTTTCGGGCGAAAAATTAAGTTTCTCCAATCTTCTCAAAACTCTGGATTCTGATAGAGGGCCACGAGACTTTGACCTGAGTGCAAAAATGGAGGCTCTAGACCCTTCCAGAGCTGAGATATCGAAATTCAAAATTTCGACCCCAAAAAAAAAAACGACAATGTTACCCCTTTCGTTTTTTTTCTTTTTCGGGCGAAAAATTAAGTTTCTCCAATCTTCTCAAATCTCTGGATTCTGATAGAGGGCCACGAGACTTTGACCTGAGTGCAAAAATGGAGGCTCTAGACCCTTCCAGAGCTGAGATAACGAAATTCAAAATTTCGACCCAAAAAAAAAAAACGACAGTGTTACCCCTTTCGTTTTTTTTTCGTTTTCGGGCGAAAAATTAAGTTTCTCCAATCTTCTCAAAACTCTGGATTCTGATAGAGGGCCACGAGACTTTGACCTGAGTGCAAAAAATGGAGGCTCTAGACCCTTCCAGAGCTGAGATATCGAAATTCAAAATTTCGACCCGAAAAAAAAAAGACAGTGTTACCCCTTTCGTTTTTTTCGTTTTCGGGCGAAAAATTAAGTTTCTCCAATCTTCTCAAAACTCTGGATTCTGATAGAGGGCCACGAGACTTTGACCTGAGTGCAAAAATGGAGCCTCTAGACCCTTCCAGAGCTGAGATATCGAAATTCAAAATTTCGACCCAAAAAAAAAAACGACAGTGTTACCCCTTTCGTTTTTTTCGTTTTCGGGCGAAAAATTAAGTTTCTCCAATCTTCTCAAAACTCTGGATTCTGATAGAGGGCCACGAAACTTTGACCTGAGTGCAAAAATGGAGGATCTAGACCCTTCCAGAGCTGAGATATCAAAATTCAAAATTTTGACCTGAAAAAAAAACGACAGTGTTACCCCTTTCGTTTTTTTCATTTTCGGGCGAAAAATTAAGTTTCTCCAATCTTCTCAAAACTCTGGATTCTGATAGAGGGCCACGAGACTTTGACCTGAGCGCAAAAATGGAGGCTCTAGACCCTTCCAGAGCTGAGATATCGAAATTCAAAATTTCGACCCGAAAAAAAAACGACAGTGTTACCCCTTTCGTTTTTTCGTTTTCGGGCGAAAAATTAAGTTTCTCCAATCTTCTCAAAACTCTGGATTCTGATAGAGGGCCACGAGACTTTGACCTGAGTGCAAAAATGGAGGCTCTAGACCCTTCCAGAGCTGAGATATCGAAATTCAAAATTTCGACCCCCCAAAAAAAACGACAGTGTTACCCCTTTCGTTTTTTTTCGTTTTTCGGGCGAAAAATTAAGTTTCTCCAATCTTCTCAAAACTCTGGATTCTGATAGAGGGCCACGAGACTTTGACCTGAGTGCAAAAATGGAGGCTCTAGACCCTTCCAGAGCTGAGATATTGAAATTCAAAATTTCGACCCCAAAAAAAAACGACAGTGTTACCCCTTTCGTTTTTTTTTGTTTTCGGGCGAAAAATTAAGTTTCTCCAATCTTCTCAAAACTCTGGATTCTGATAGAGGGCCACGAGACTTTGACCTGAGTGCAAAAATGGAGGCTCTAGACCCTTCCAGAGCTGAGATATCGAAATTCAAAATTTCGACCAAAAAAAAAAACGACAGTGTTACCCCTTTCGTTTTTTTTCGTTTTCGGGCGAAAAATTAAGTTTCTCCAATCTTCTCAAAACTCTGGATTCTGATAGAGGGCCACGAGACTTTGACCTGAGTGCAAAAATGGAGGCTCTAGACCCTTCCAGAGCTGAGATATCGAAATTCAAAATTTCGACCCGAAAAAAAAAAACGACAGTGTTACCCCTTTCGTTTTTTTTTCGTTTTCGGGCGAAAAATCAAGTTTCTCCAATCTTCTCAAAACTCTGGATTATGATAGAGGGCCGCGAGACTTTGACCTGAGCGCAAAAATGGAGGCTCTAGACCCTTCCAGAGCTGAGATATCGAAACTCAAAATTTCGACCCGAAAAAAAAACGACAGTGTTACCCCTTACGTTTTTTTCGTTTTCGGCGAAAAATCAAGTTTCTCCAATCTTCTCAAAACTCTGGATTATGATAGAGGGCCGCGAGACTTTGACCTGAGTGCAAAAATGGAGGCTCTAGACCCTTCCAGAGCTGAGATATCGAAACTCAAAATTTCGACCCGAAAAAAAAACGACAGTGTTACCCCTTACGTTTTTTTTCTTTTCGGGCGAAAAATCAAGTTTCTCCAATCTTCTCAAAACTCTGGATTATGATAGAGGGCCGCGAGACTTTGACCTGAGCGCAAAAATGGAGGCTCTAGACCCTTCCAGAGCTGAGATATCGAAATTCAAAATTTCGACCCAAAAAAAAAAAACGACAGTGTTACCCTTTTCGTTTTTTTTTTTTCGTTTTCGGGCGAAAAATTAAGTTTCTCCAATCTTCTCAAAACTCTGGATTCTGATAGAGGGCCACGAGACTTTGACCTGAGTGCAAAAATGGAGGCTCTAGACCCTTCCAGAGCTGAGATATCGAAATTCAAAATTTCGACCCCCAAAAAAAACGACAGTGTTACCCCTTTCGACAGTGTTACCCCTTTCGTTTTTTCGTTTTCGGGCGAAAAATCAAGTTTCTCCAATCTTCTCAAAACTCTGGATTATGATAGAGGGCCGCGAGACTTTGACCTGAGCGCAAAAATGGAGGCTCTAGACCCTTCCAGAGCTGAGATATCGAAACTCAAAATTTCACCCAAAAAAAAAAACGACAGTGTTACCCCTTACGTTTTTTTCGTTTTCGGGCGAAAAATCAAGTTTCTCCAATCTTCTCAAAACTCTGGATTATGATAGAGGGCCGCGAGACTTTGACCTGAGCGCAAAAATGGAGGCTCTAGACCCTTCCAGAGCTGAGATATCGAAACTCAAAATTTCGACCCGAAAAAAAAACGACAGTGTTACCCCTTACGTTTTTTTCCGTTTTCGGGCGAAAAATCAAGTTTCTCCAATCTTCTCAAAACTCTGGATTCTGATAGAGGGCCGCGAGACTTTGACCTGAGTGCAAAAATGGAGGCTCTAGACCCTTCCAGAGCTGAGATATCGAAACTCAAAATTTCGACCCGAAAAAAAAAAACGACAGTGTTACCCCTTCGTTTTTTTTCGTTTTCGGGCGAAAAATCAAGTTTCTCCAATCTTCTCAAAACTCTGGATTATGATAGAGGGCCGTGAGACTTTGACCTGAGTGCAAAAATGGAGCTCTAGACCCTTCCAGAGCTGAGATATCGAAACTCAAAATTTCGACCCGAAAAAAAAACGACAGTGTTACCCCTTACGTTTTTTTTTCGTTTCGGGCGAAAAATAAGTTTCTCCAATCTTCTCAAAACTCTGGATTATGATAGAGGGCCGTGAGACTTTGACCTGAGCGCAAAAATGGAGGCTCTAGACCCTCCAGAGCTGAGATATCGAATTCAAAATTTCGACCCGAAAAAAAAAAACGACAGTGTTACCCCTTTCGTTTTTTTCGTTTTCGGCGAAAAATCAAGTTTCTCCAATCTTCTCAAACTCTGGATTATGATAGAGGGCCCGCGAGACTTTGACCTGAGTGCAAAAATGGAGGCTCTAGACCCTTCCAGAGCTGAGATATCGAAACTCAAAATTTCGACCCGAAAAAAAAAACGACAGTGTTACCCCTTTCGTTTTTTTTCGTTTTCGGGCGAAAAATTAAGTTTCTCCATCTTCTCAAAACTCTGGATTATGATAGAGGGCCGTGAGACTTTGACCTGAG